CTGAGGTTACGCTATACAAAATAACGCTCTCCAAGCAAACCTCGGTATGGAATGGATTTAACAGAGGCCGGGCACTGAAGGGCCATAACATATTGAACCTGATCCAGGGGAAACACCGGCCCAGCAAAACAGCTATTGGAGAACGTGACCTTTTCTCACGTTGCACTCAGGTGAGTACAAGGCAACCCTTACAGGAACATATATGAATTAAAGTGATTTCTCAGGTTAATACACCAATTGTTTGAACTTGAAGAGCTGTTTTATACTGCCTATTATGATTAGTATCTAGCTCAAATGTGGGTCAGAGGAACAAAAAATGACATGCCTTATTCCCCTAGGCAGCCAATAAGCTGTTCATAAGGGAAGTGAACTCAGTGAAACTAATGCCTAGAGATAGCTAAAGAATAAGAGATGAGTATCAGTAAAAAGTCAAGCAGCAAGCCTAGAAGTTCAGGAGATTTAAGTATTTAATAAATCAGTAGTCCTTCACAAGTAATACTGGCAAGGGAGGAAATGTTCAATCAATAGATCCACATTCCCTTTCCTACATTTTTAGCTCTCCTGTAGCGTGTCAGAGGCGGGGGACTCCAAACAAAAATCCATAGCACAGTCCTCAGGGTTACAGAAATGTTAAGCCAGAGGACTCGCAGATAAAGTTTTTAAAATACACTGAAATTAGCTGAGCAGGTGAGGGCCTGAGCTACTCTGAAAGTCCAGTCTGGGTTGTTAGCGAACTGAAGCTGCAGACATCAGCAGTGCCAGCTGGATCCAGATTTCCAAAAAGCTTAGAAATAATTCCATGTGCAATTTCCAGACCATCTCCAGTACATATGCATATTTATTTCTGTTTTCTTGTTACCATTTATTAAGAATAGCTAATACATTCGCACAAGCAACTGATGCATTTGCTTTAATACTAAGATCACTTTTTCCTCCCTATGAAATTTCAGTAAAATAGTGTTTCTTTCCAGAAATTACTAAGTTCCAAGCAGAGGGAATATATGACAATACTACCAGCTACTTTTTATGGGAAGAGGTGACTGTGCCTAACTTTGGTTAGTGTACTTGTAATATTGATACTGGGGTAATAATAGTAATAGTAATAATAATAATAATAATAATAATAATAATAA